ATCTGTTGGTGCGTGTCAGTGCATAGGCTATAAACCTTCTGTGTGAAAAAAGAACCTAATTGGCAAGTTCATAAGAAAAATCCCAAGCACCAGCTTGTTATAATAAGTACCAGGTCAAACAAGGACCTATCTGGAAAGAAGCCATTTTAAAGGCAAAGAGAACAGTCAAGTCGAAGTTACATGCCTATAACCTTCTTCAAAAGCCTCTAAGGCCCCCATCCAATCACCATCAGAATCGAGAACGTTTCCTATCTCAATCTTGGATAATGCTTGTCCCTAAAAGCACAACATTCACATAAACATAATATACTCACACAGATCGAGGGAAAAGCTAATATTCAGGTGTCAAAATATAATTTATAAACTGCTGTCTTACATAAACCAGTCTCATGCATAAACTTCCTATATCAAAAATGTACAAAAGAAGCAGGACATAGTAGTGTAGAGAGAGATATTGAGTTACCTCCAAGTTGCCAATTAGCTTGTATGATTCCCAGCTCTTTGTGTACCATTTAAGAGCTTTCTTGAACTCCCTAAGCTTCTGGTACGACTCTCCAATCGCAAGAAATGAATCTGCCAGGTGCTCTTTATCACAAACCTCATTTGCTATCCTTTTCTTCATCTTTGCATACTTAAGATGCTATAAGAAATACAAAGCAGAATAACTCATTGTTGCAGTAGCTTAGCAGACATGGGTTGGGGGAAAAAAACATGCCTTCCAAAATTCTTGAATGTCAAATTATGAGTACATAAACAACACTTCCCATATTTAAGACTAATTTCCCTCAGCACCAAGAACATCTAAGTCATGCAAGATATTCTCTTTAATATGCATGAGCATCTTAAATCACAATGTTCCATCAGGGAATGTGAACATTTCATCATGTTGAAAGCTTAAAGTACTGCAGAACTTTCATTTCTGGCAGTCAAACTCTGGTTGGTCTATGGAATAATTGGTGTTTCCTATGATAAACTACTTCCAACAGGTCTAAACCAACTGCATGATTCTTCATATTCATGATTCCAGATATGGGTACTATCAAATTCTGATACAATTGGCTCTTTCAAGTATGATGCTGATCACACCAAATGTGAAAACAGATAAGGAAATAGTTTCTAGTAGGTACCTTCCTCCATGCAAGTGTCATGCTTGATTTCTCAATAAGATGACCAAGAGATACAATCTGTTGCAGTAAATTCTTCCTCTCACATCCTGTGCCTCTAGCACTTTGCAACTTCCTTTCCAGCCTTTTGAGGTTCTGAGATTCATGCTTTAATTCTTCCGTTACTTCAATTGCTGCTTCTACAGTTTTAATATTCTGTTCAATTTGACTCACTAAAGCATCCTCATCTTCCATTGACTTTGCCCGTTGAAGGGCCTTTTGGTAACAAATTATGGCCTCATTGTATTTTTGGACTCTGTAGTGCAACTCCCCAAGATTAATAAAACCCTTTGCCTCACCTTGGCAATGCCCAATTTTCTTACAAATTGTGATATCCTTTTCTATGTGCTCTCGTGCTTTGTCCCATTCCCTAAGGTCCATATAAACATTGCCAAGGTTATGGTGCAGCCTACTACGTGCATCATCATCCTCATCAACCTCTTCTTCATCGCAGATTGTTAATCCTCTATTGAGAATTCTCTTGGCTTCTTCCAAGTTATCAAGATCGATTTCAAGCATTCCAAGGTTATTATGAGCATCAATGTACTCCCTAACAATAGAAGATTTGCTATCTGTTGGACTCTTCTTGATATCTTCAGCAAGTTTCATGGCTAATTGAAAGTACATTTTGGCATTCCTAATCGAGGAATGGTCATCCTCAGACTTCAAAAACATTTCATGGTATGTCCGACCGAGTTGTGTACTTGCTCTTTGTTGCTCAATGAGGTTATTTGTGTCCTCTGCCAGCCTTAAGTGCTTTTCCTGTAAGACGAAAACCAATAAGAAACAAGAACCATAAACAAAGAAAAAGTGAATATTTTGATTGAAATTTGAAAACAGATTGCAAATTCAGCAAGAACAGAGACCTACTGATGAAACTGTACTTCCTCCAAATGCAAATACAAATTATATACATACTTTGATTCATAAAAAGGCTTAACAACTTCTTAGATAAGCACAAATTACAACACCACAAATCAATAGTCATACAACTATATGAATTTATTGCCATTGTCTGTCAGGTGTCTCAAATCAGCTTGCATGCACTTTAAACTAATCCACCATACGTTGGTGCCATGGGCCAGCTTAAGCATACCTCAAACTAATCCAGTTTCCTAACCAAAGAAGCCTGTTGCAAAGTAAGAGCAATGATCACATAACCTTCCTGAGATGGAGATTCAAGCCCGACTGAACGCAATTACAATATCGAAAGCTAACTAGGCAACCAAATGCATCATTTTCATAAAGTTTCCTTATTTCTCTAACCAAAAGGTAACAAAGTTCATATTCCAAGCCAACGTACAACTCATAATGCATAATGTACAACACTTCCACACAGTAGCGAAAACCCATGAGCAATTACCATTTCCCCAAAAACAAAAATGGCTCAATTTCTTACTGGAACCTACTTCCTATTCACTTTCACTAGAAATTGACAAAATTAAGATTCCAGGCCAACGGTACGACTCATAATGCACCAAGTAGAACACATAACCCTATGAGCAAGGACAATTTCCCAAAGTAAAGGGGAAAAAAAGGGTCAAATTATCAATTGCCTGAATCTTTAGGGCTTCGTGGAAATGTTGGAGGCGGAGGTGGAGTTCGCCGAGGGTATTACAAGTAGGAAGGAGTTGGTTGGGCGGCAAATGCTTCACTGAAACCTCATAATCCTTCTGCAGCCAATCCAGCGCCTCCACGTACTCCCCTCGATTCTTATGGATGTTTCCAATGAAATTCGCCCACCGCGCCTCCTCCGCCCTATTCCCAACCGCCTTCGCTTCGCCGTAGGCCTTCATCGCATCGCGCAGCTGCTGCTCCTCGTCTTTCTTCTTCTTCGCCATTTTCTATTCAGTATTTTGATCTTTTGACGAAGATTTCGCTTTTGGAAGTTTCGATTCAGTACGAGGTTTCGAAATATTAAAATATGCAAAAAAAAAAGAGGGGAAATGGAGAAAATATAGCTTCCCGCCATTCATTATTAGTACGCGGGAAGAATAATACAAATTTTTTTAAAAAAAAAGGGAAACGGAGAATAAATTAAATTAATTAATTAAAAATAAGACATTAAAATTTCCAATAAAAAAAATGGCACGCTTTAGGTCGGTAAGGCCCTTTTTTGACCGTCAAACTAAAATTCATCAGCACAAGAAATTCATATTTCAGAAGACAATGGATAATTTAGTACTTCCAAATCTCAAAAATCCAAAGTTCTAAATAGAATAGAATTTTGAAATTCTTATATAGAATATCATTTTGGGCAAATCGCCAATTTGGTTCTTAAACTTTTTTACTTAAACCAATTTAGTCCTTCACGGTTTTTTTTTACCAATTTAATCCTCAAACAATTTTATCGAGTCCAATGTAGGACTTTTTGAGCGACGCCACCACATTTTATGTATTTTTCACGGCGGACCAGGGGTATAATTGGAATGACAGGTATAATTGTTTAAACACCTTGACTAGAATGGCAGCTCTGTCACGATTAGCAAAAGAAACCCCTGCAAATCGACTTCTTCAGAGCTCATAGGAATTAGGGCAAAAACTTCGACAAGCAGAAACTGAGGGAGAGACTTCGACAAGCAAGTGAAATGCAATCAAGCAGAAATTTCGACAACTCCGCCTCAAGTATATGTAGCAGCCAACACTCAAATCTGGATAGCCGAGTAAGTGGGCATTCGACAGGGGTGAAGGGAGAGAGGGTAGAATTCTACAATGGGAATGAAGCAGTAATTTGCCATTGCCGTGAAGAATGTAGAATTGTAACTTCATGGACAGTGGCGAACCCAGGCAGAAGATTTCATGGATGCATAAATTATGGGGTAATTTTTACAATTAATCATGACATATCACTTGTATATTTTGATGTATTATATAATTTACTACAACTAATAGCCGGAACTAATGGTCATTGTAGACCCCAAAAGCCTGCAATTATTTTCTGTGGTATGATCCACCTATGCAACAGATGACAAAAAATATGATGGCGAGAATTTTGAAGACTTTGAGGAAAGCTGAGGAAGAAAATAATTTCATGAAAATTGAAATGTGTAAGCTTGAAGAAGAGAACAAGGCGCTCAAAAGTGAAATTAGGAAGTTGAAAGCAGCAAGGAAGTGGCTAATGCTGGTCGTGGTTTGCATATGTATTATGGTTATTGCTGTACTATTATTCAGTGGCAATGAAAGGAATGTCAACTTAAAAATGCTACATTAGATCTTCCTGTATGAAGTTAGAAGTTGAGTAATTGCTTCATGTAATTTGAATGCTGTAATGTTGGAATGTAGACATGGGTGTATGGAACATGTTTATGCATTAAAATGGAACATTATCTCGAATGATGTTTTTGTCAATTAATCGAGAGATTTTGTCAGTTGTTGCTGGGCACATTTACTGAAACGAAATTGCTATAAATTGATTAAGAGATTTTGTCAGTTGTTGGGCATATTACCTTGAAAGATGTCTTTGTTAAAATTTAACAGAGATTCACCTCAAGTTGTATAAAAAATTTGACAGCATTTCATCCTAAATTTCGATAATCCCTACTCGCACAAATACCCCATATAAACTGCTAAACAACAAGAAGAAAGTCAAAATAAATGGTATAGGAAGAGTGCGAATAGAAGTTCATAGTCATCAACATAAGTGCGACATTGCCAATATAGCAAGCTGAATTTTACTTCAGCATTGAATTCGTTTTAGACAAAATGCAGCCACATCAAATGTACAAAACAGAATCGTATTGTTAATCCAATTAGTATCCATTGACAAAACAGAAGCTCTTAATGTACAAAACAGAGCATATCCCACAAAATAGAAGTCTGCTGTATTCCCAAGCTCCATTAACTTGACTGGGCGACAATATCATCTTCTTCATCTAACAGCCTATGTGCCTACACAAATAAAGGCACATGTCAAAAGTCATAAACAGTCTCGTTTTAAGTCATGTCAAAATCATTGTCCAGCAAATGTGCAAGACATGCTGTTTGTTTCTGTTTTAATTACTTGAACTTACTTTCTCCTTTTTCCTAATCATTTTTCCCTTTGATGGAGGGAATGGACCAAAAACAGTCATAGCAGCCTTTCTTTTTCTCCATGCTTGAGCTTGCCAGGTTGCACATGTTTGCCGGTTATGTCCTAAGCCATGACAGAAGGAACACTTGGTGAATTTCTTTTGCACTTCAGGTAGTTCTTCTTGACCCGATGGCTGTAAATCAATAACTTCTTGTTCATCAATAACAGCCTGTGCTTTATCACCTGACCATGAAATAAAGTTAAAACAAGTAACAAGTACAAGAATAAAATTATCATGAGCTACATGGAAAAATCCTAAATTGCTGACCACTTGGAACATCTGGCATTGAGCTGGATTCCAGAGGTACTTCAGCCGGCTCCTTCCCGAACACTTGATCTGTACACATCAAAGCATCATTAGTTAAGTATTACACCATAAATCAGTGGATGAGGGATAGGTCAAATTACCAGATTTTTGTGGACAAGTTCTCTTGTTATGGCCAAGTGCCTTGCATTTGCTACACTTGTTGGAGTTGGACGGTGGTGGCCTTTTATTGGTAGATGCACCAAGCTCATTTAGAAGGTACCAGCAGTGGACACTTTCTCATTGTATGCCCCTTTTGATAGCATTTTGTACATGTCATTCTAACAAGGCCAGATCTAGAAAGTTTGGTAACCCCTTTCGAATTAGGCCTAGGCTCTTCCGGTTCCCTTCTTCTTACTTTCTTTGGCCGACCAGGTAATTTCAACTTCAAGGGTGGTAAGACAGGATCTTTATCCGATTGCACCCAAACATTTGGACCACTCAAAGGAGCAATTGCTGGCTCATAAGCTTTCAAGTAACTGTCTCGCGAGTAATAATGATGAACAAGACTTTCTGGCTCTTGACCTATTAAAGAAATACAACAAATCACATGGCAGCATGGCAATCCAGTCAACTCCCATCTCCTGCAGCTACAAGTCTGCTGCTTTAAGTCCACCACATGTTTGCCTCCATACATATGTGTAACCTCAAATTTATCTTGATCAGACCATCTCGCGATGTTTGCAGCTACTTCTGTTTTTGCCTTCTCCAGTTTCTTTTGAATTTTTGGGCAGATCTTATCACTCATTTTCTTCATCCACTCCCTTTTTGTACGAAGCCTTTCCATTAGATAGATTCTGATAGTCTCAAACATTCCAAGGATTGGCTTTTCCCTTGCATCCATTATGATCGAATTAAAGCTTTCACATAAATTATTAAGGAGAATGTCACACTTGACAGCCACTCGAAAGTGTGATATTGACCAGTGATAGGGAGAGGTGTTGTCATTTAACCACTTCCAAGTAGCTACATCATAATCCCTTAAACACTCCATATGATTTTCGAACATCCTCATGTACGATGACCTTGCACATGTCCAAAATCTTTCCTTCAATGCTTCACCCGGATGATTTTTTTTGAAGTTGTTGTGCAAGTGCCTTACACAATGTCTGTGCTCGACATTTGGAATGACTTCCTGAATTGAAGATCCTAAACCCTGCAAAATAGACAAATGCAAGTTCAGCACAATCAGTAAGCATTCATGTATATATAATAAACATATATAAACAATGTAAGTTGATCTTATTCACCTTCTGTCTATCACTTATAAAGCTCCAATTTCTTTGATCATTGATAGATAGGTCATATTTCAAGAATTCAATAAACCACTTCCACGACCTCTTATTTTCTGCTTCAACTACTGCATATGCAACTGGATAAACAAGTCATTTGGATCTATCCCAACTGCAGTTAATAACACACCCGGATGTGGACCTCTCAAGTGGCAACCATCAACTCCAATTATCTTCCTACAACCAGATTTAAATCCTCTCTTCAGTGTCTCGAAGCAAATGTAAAGTTTCTGAAATCTTTGTTTTCCAGAATCTTTATCTAATGTAGTTTCCATGTACACTGTAGAACCAGGATTTGCTTTCATTAGTTCCTCACAATAATCCCACAATCTGTTGTACTGATCTTTGTAGCTCCCATGGATCAAAATTTTTGCCTTCATGAATGTCTTATAAACTTGAGGTTTAGTAATGTTTACATTTAGCTCTGCATGTACCTTATCCTTGAACTCAGAAACTGTTATTCTCTTGTTCATCCTTAGGAAGTCCACATATTTTCTTGCTAAGAAACCTGAGATAGCTCTCTTGTGGTAAAAGGTCCTGCCACATGTGTGTGCTGGACCCATTGTCTTGATTGCAATGGAATCATCACCTTCATCAATTTTAGAAGCAAACAACATCCACTTACAATGTTCAGCTTTGCATTTCACCCTCATTCTATGCTTATCATGCTTCACCCACTTTATATCCTTCCCCCATTTGACTGCATAATTGTCAACTGCCATCTTGAATAGCTGCTTATCATCAAATTGTTGACCAACATGAAATTTTGGATCATTCATGTCCATTTCTGGTCAAAATCTGACCAGTTTAAGCTTTTTCCTTGTGCTATCTTCATCGGAGGAATCAGTCACACTATTTAGCTCATCTGACACCATCGAATCAGATTTCTCATGAATTGGAATCTGATCTCCTTCATCAAGGTGTAGGTGTGAATTAGAAGTTGCCTTGATTCTGATTTTTTTTTATTGGGTGCTGCTGCTTGTCTTGCTTCTTTTTTTGCCTTTCTGTTTCTACTTTGGCAATTTCCTGTTGGCAATTTATCCATTGCAGCACCTAACTCCTGATATGGAGCCACAACAGAAGTTTGAAAAATGACATCATCATCATCTTCACTGAAATCATAGTCACTATCATGGAACTTTTCACCCTCCATTGAGTCTGAGTTTACAGCATCATTAGCCTCATCCGCATCACCTTGTTCTACTTCAGCAGCCTGACAACTTTACTGGTTCTTCTTCTCAAGCTCCTTCATTTTCTCCACATGAACAGAAATTTCCTCTATGTCAGCAACATCAACATCCTCAAATGTTATGTCTACAAAGAAGTCATCTTCTTCTTCTATTTCTATAGCATTACAACTGTTTGATGCAACTGCACTCTCACATTTACCATCTATCAATCTAATGTGAAACTTAGAAATAACATAAACTTCTGCTTCTCCATTTTGCTTGCCTATACAAGCCATGTCAGTTGCTACGTCATCAGAATCTATTTTTCTCAACACAAGTGTACCACATTCAGTTGGAATTCTATACATCATTGTTACATTTACAGGATATCCAAGATAATAGCAAAAGTCAGATACAATTGCTCTATTCACTCTCATGGCAATGACACCTTCAAAACTTTCCATGCTGCCCCCCAAATATTGCTCTACGGGTTCTTTAACATATACACCCCCATGATAGATTTTCAAAGTAAAAAATTCAACCTCTTGTCCTGCATTTTTTTAAACCACAAAAAAGACTTAATTAATAACAACATCTGGGTGTGTTATAACCACAAAAGTCAGATCTGGGATCACATCAGAACATTCAAGTGTGCTGTTGTTTTCCTACTACTTTGTCTCGCTTTTTAGAACATGAAAACAACAGCCAGTGACGGAGCCAGGATTTTTTCTTTGGGGGGGCCAAAATTTTTTCGAACAAAATTATTTTAATATGTTATGTTCAAAATAATTTTCATCTATTTAAATATATGGCATCTTAAAATATCAAATATTAACTTTAATTATAAAGATATGTCTATTTCATAAATATGTAGCATAGTCATAACTAAAATTAAGACAAGAAATAACATTTAATTAAATATCTTATAACATCACAAACCACCTAAGTTGCACATTATGAGAAGATGCTCCAATATGTCACTTGTGCAAAAACAAAAATATAACTATGCAATATAAATATAACTATTTTCAATTAAAAAGAGATAAAAATTATGTTAACATGTCTTGAAATTTCATCCTCTTTTATTAAACGTAAATTGAGCTTTACGTTCTTTCATAGAACTAAATTCATCTATAATTGAATCAATGGTAAATTTTCGAACAACTTCCTTTTTTTATGTACATTGTTAGACAATCATTCAAGAAATTATCTTTTATCTTGTTTTGGAATTTTGTTTTGATTATCTTCATAATTGAAAATGTCCGTTCTATAGACTATAGAACGAATTAAGGATTTTTTCCTTGGGAGGGGGGCCAAAATTTTTTTGAACAAAATTATCTTAATATGTTATATTCAAAATAATTTTCATTGATTTAAATATATGACATCTTAAAATATCAAATATTAAATTTAATTATAAAGGTATGTCTATTTCATAAATATGCAGCATAGTCATAACAAAAATTAGAACAAGAAATAACCTTTGATTAAATATCTTATAACATTACAAACTATCCAAATTGTACATTATGAGAAAATGATCCAATACGTCACTTGTGCAAAAATAAAAATATAACTATGCAATATAAATATAACTATTTTCAATTAAAAGAAAGATAAAAGTTATGTTCGCACACCTTGCATTTGTTCATATCTTTCTCATCAGTACGTGACATCACATTGAAAACAACTAATGGGTAAAGGCCAACTAAGCATTGTCCCTTCACCGTTCAGTGAACTGAATGGGGCAGTCCAAATTTACTAACTCCGGCTTAACACAACAGCAGCAGCAAACCAAGCATCTCCTCTCAAGATATTAATGTAATAATCACATGGACAATGTTACAAACACATGGTATGCCCACGGCGCAACTATGATAAAAAGCTCAATCACAAACGTACGGTTCTAACCAGTATATTAAGGAAGACAAGAAATGAGTAGGGGGCAAAAAAAAAAACTTACCTTTGAAGAAGATACCCACCTAGCACACGGGTCCAACCAGTACACTAAGGAAGACAAGAAATCAATAAAAAGCTATACTCATTACCAAGAACGTACGTGCTGCATTAGGGCTGGGCTGGCCGCCGGAATCCCCTATATATAGGGGGTTTTCCGGCAGCTTGGGGGGGGCTTAAGCCCCCACCAGCCCCCCCTTAAATCCGTGGCTGACAACAGCACACTACATTTTAGAACTACAAGGACCACATCACCATTAAAAAAATTCAGCTTTAAATATAGCATATTTCACCATCCCCAGATCTGCGTATGACCCACGCAGAAGACATTTTTAAAAAAACACGTCAACCCCACAATGTACCATATTCCACTAATTAATCGCCCACATGCTTAACACTGTCATTAAACAGAGAAGAAAATGTTCAACTACTTCAGCCCCACATACAACGACAAAGTACAAACACATTAGCTTTAACATTCTGATGAAAAGGTTAAACTAACATACACCTGCTCAAACATCAATGAAAAGGTTAAACTAACATGCAGCTGTTCAAACATCAAACAAGCATAGCAGAAAATGGAGAAGCTAAGTAAGATCTGGTTAAAGTTTACTGGATAGTGTTGCTGCAACTGCTTCCTTTTCACCATCCTTGTCGCCATCGACACCTTCCATCATCAAAGACACGGATCTGCTTATCTTCTGTTGGCAATCACATTTTCTTACATTTTGATCAGAATGCCTAATTCCTATGAGCTCTGAAGAAGTCTATTTGCAGGGGTTTCTTTTGCTAATCATGACAGAGCTGCCATTCTAGTCAAGGTGTTTAGACAATTATACCTGTCATTCCAATTATACCCCTGGTCCGCTGTGAAAAATACATAAAATGTGGTGGCGCCACCCAAAAAGTCCTACATTGGACTCAATAAAATTGTTTGAGGATTAAATTGAAAAAAAATCATGAAGGACTAAATTGGTTTTAGTGAAAAAGTTTAAGGACCAAAATGGCGATTTCCCCTATCATTTTTTAAGAAATCTCTCCGAGAAGGTTGTAGCCGTAGCAATTCTATTCATCTGTTCTTCATCAACATCGTCACCACCCACCTTCTTATCAAAAGAGGGCTTAAGAAAACATGGAAAATTATCAAAAGAGGGCTCAAGAAAACATGAAAAATTATTACAGAAATTATGGTTTCTTCCGCCGGCCTAATCAGAGTAACCCTCAGCTTATGGTTCTCCAATTTTTTCTGAATCTGGTCCGCCAGGTTATGAGTTTCACGATTTTGCATTTCCTGGACCTACATGATACTACTATGATTGTCTTGCTGAAGTGATGTACAATCATGAGAATCTCCAATGGTTTGGGAATCATGTTCAAGAAGAATTTGATGAGAGACCAAACATCCTTTCCTATTTTAGCTTTGCTGCAGAAGATGAAAATGTGATGCTTGGTTTGGGTGGAGAGCGAAACTACTCACTGAGAGACCGAGTTCAAGAAGCAGATCAATTATTTAATATCTGTGAGGCCCAAAAATTATTTTTAAATTTTCTCCTATTTTTAAAAAATTAATTTATATTTTTTTATTTTACTTTACTTGTTTATTTGCTAGTCTTAATTTGATAGTGATTTTAAAGGTTAAGTTAAAATTTCTATCATTCCCTTTTTTTGTAGTTTAGTACATATTAAGTTTCATAGTGCATTATATTAGTGTGACCAACTAATTTGATGTGTATACTAAATTTGAAAGATTAGAAGGAGTTTTGTGCAAAAGGAATATTGTACTATAAGGTGTTAAGAGATAATTAGAGATGGATTAGATATTTTAGTAAATGGAAAACAATTAGATAAGGATTACATCTTGATTTGACACTTGTCACTTAACCATGAAATCTTGACCAAGACTAAGTTTTTTTCTTATTCTAAACCAAGCCTTAATTACCATTTCTTCTTCTTGGTTTCTTGTTAGATGAAATTTGGGAGGTAAGGAGAGAGAAAATACTCCATTTTCTAGTCTTGATTTCTTGCTTGATCCATGAGAAATTCGAAGATTAACCCTAAATTACTCCAATAGATCTTGAGTGAATCTTTGAGGGAAGCTCTTGGAGGAAACTTGGACTTGTTGCTTGGTTGAAATTACTAGGAGAAGTATTGACTTGAAATCCTATCTTTTCTTCAAGTTTCTAGTAGATTTGTAGTTAGAAAGATTGGATCTTTAATGGGTTGTTGATGGATTTCTTTGAAACCTTGATTTAGGTAGATAACTTGAGGAAAATTTTTGTTTTGAAAGTTTCTTACTGGCTGAAACTTTTGAGTGCTGTTAGCCCTTATTTTTTCAAAACTTTTGGGGAAAATCTTGCACCACAAACTTTGTTAGGCATTAAACTTTGATTGTGAGTCGGATTTGAACCAAAAATCATGAGTTTAAGTGGGAAGGTTGAGTCAAGTGTTGCTGAAAATATTTTCCGCAGGAGATTCTGAGCAGTCTTGGAAAATATGTTATATCTTGGTGAAGAAAAATTCGAATTGAGTCTCGTTTGTTGCATTTGAAACTAAACTCATAGTTTTTTTATTGTGTAAAATTCATGGTTTGATTCACTTTCTATAAATATCAGAAAAATTTCAAAGTGGGCTGAAAATCGAAAACTGTCCTGTTTTTGCAC